ACCCCCTACACCCGAGTTTCGCCCATCGTTCCTGTTGCTAGGCTACTGCCGCCGCTGCTGGCACCAACGCCCGACTGTCGCTGGCGAACCTCCCTCTGTGTCCTGGTGTCGCACGTGGTTGCCCTCTTATTACTCCCCGATGATGATGTTGGTGTGACACCAATGAGGTCCAAGACTTTTCTGCGCTCTGCGTCGGAAATAGCTATCTCCGATCGAAATTTGGGACTACCGCCACCATCGACCTCGCTGTGTACTGACTTGATGTGGGCAGCCATGTTGTACTTCCAGACGTATTTTTTGCCCGGGCATATTTGGCACGCCATCGGCAGATTAAGGCATGGTTTATACGTGGACCCCTTCCGCGCGTGGCCCATTAAGAGCGCAACGTCCCAAGTCTGGAGTGAACCTTCGCGGGGGGCATCGGGGCACGTAGATGTGCAGATCTCTACTCCCTTCTTCGACCCTTGTTTCAGGAAGCTCTCGCACATGCCGTCACTGCGCCCGCAGAACCCGCACGTCACCGTGGGGGTGGATTCTGCTGCTTTCTGCTCTCTTGCCCGTCTCTACGCGCTGCCTGTTCTAAACCATACTACTGTATTGTACCACCCGCCCCCCCCCCCCCCCCNTTGCCAAAATCCAGGTTTGGGGCAGTGCATCCCTGAGTGCTCTCCGTGAACCCCCAAACGGAAGATTACCGACTACAGCATACTGCTGTCTGAAGTGCTATCTGCACAAAAACACCATGGTAGGCATGGAACAAGCAGCTGGCGGGACAAAAGCTGCTGTCTGAAGTGCTGTCAGATTGTGTCTGCGGCCGTACAGTGAAAAAGAACAACCAACCAAAGCCATCATAGCAGCAGCAATTGACAATCACCCGAATCTCTCCCGATCGTCTATGTTCGGCACTGCAGTGAAAAACATCGACACTGGCTAAAAATCGTTCCACATTGAAGGGGTCTCCCACGATCAGGCACAAAACCAATTCACCCGAGTTAGCCACGCCATCTGTGACGGGTCTCTCTACAAAACCGGTGACGACGTCATCACACAAAACCAACACGGAAAGTCAGAAAAAAACGGAAAAAATTGACAACACAGATAGAAATGTTTGTCCGTGCGCCACGGGTCGATGTCGCCCGCATGCTCCGGTGCCACTGTTCCATCCGGCGCCGCTGTAGTCAGCCCAAGCAAAACGCCACTCGACCTGCTCCGTCCGTACACGCTCTCGTTGCTGTCCTTCCCAGTCCGTTCCTTGCTTTCTCCCTCATTGCACTCAAGATTCTTGGTCCGAAAAAAATAAAAAAATCTCGCGCCGAATGGTCAACCAGCCCAGTTCAGCTCGTCGCCACCTGCTCCCTCCTCCTTTGATGGCGAAGCCAGGTTACTGAGGCAATACAGCTCCCTCTAGCAAACCTAGGGCCGTGTGGTGCTCGTCCACCTTTCTGATGGTGTCTGCCTCCGCGCGAAAAAATGAGATGGGCATCACTGCCTACGCCGACGGCCAGCAATAATGCCAACGAATGCAAGCAAAAAGAAGCCTTGAGGTCACGCGAGAGCATGAACTGTGAAGAAGAAACGAAAACAGAAAGGATAACATGCAACGACAGCAGTGGTAAAGGAATACGTTGTTAGATATACTCGCAGCAGTATCTGGTCGTGAGGATCCCAGGGGATACGTGTTGGGAATTTCGTGTGTAGAAGGGTACCACCGGTGCAGTCGCGGGGATCCTTTTGGCGTGGTTGGTGCGATGGAGCTTGCGTGCGTGCTGCGCACTTCTTCCCTCTCTCTCTCCACCAACACCACCGTCTCTCTCCAATCAAGTTTCCTTCTCCCACTCTCTCTCCAACTTTCTCTCAACCTCTCTCTCTCGGCCTAACACGGCCGACTACCCAGTGCCCCAAGTAACGTCCAGAACGTGCTTGCTGCACCCCGCGTAGTTTACCTTTCACACTAGTGNTGCTGCACCCCGCGTAGTTTACCTTTCACACTAGTGTGATATCACGGTATCTGCGCGTGGGTGTAGCCTTCCGGGGGTTGTGCAGCCACGCGCAATCGGTAGACTCCCACAACAACATACACCATGGAGGGCATCGACCTCTCCGCCCTTAGCGGGGAAGAGCTACAGCAAAAAGTGGAGGAGATCGTCCAGCAACGAGT